TTTTTTTAAGTAAACAACAGGTTAGCATGAGCTAATCAACAGGTTTTATTTTTTGTGTTAGTAGTATTGATCACATATTTGCACACAAATTGTTTTATTTTGTAGGTATAAAAACAAACAAAAGAAAATGGTTCTATGTTTTTTTGAAAGAGTTGCTGCAGAGGGACCAAAGAGCCACATGTGGCCCCAGAGCCGCAGGTTGCAGACCCCTGGGTTAGTCGTTGCTCCAATGCGAGAGTTGGCGGTTCAGTTCCACTGCTGTTCGATCACAAATGTCGCTTGGCAAGACACTGAACCCCCACCGCCTCTGATGTGTCCCATCGGTGTAAGAGTGGGATTTAAAGCACTGAATGGTCTTTTATAGGATGATTTCTCTGTATTAGCTTTGAATAGAGATCTARTAGAGTGCTGAATGAATGTGTGTGTGAATGAATGGGTAAATGASGGCACAGATTGTATTGTGGTGCTTTGGAAAGAAAGGTGCTTTAAAAGTACACCATTTACCTGAGGTGTGTAAAAATCAGAAATCCGACTTGACTTAGAAAGTGACAGTTTATCTGCAGTTTGTTACAACATGTAGAGGTTTCAAAATGCACAGGGGTTTTGGTATTGTCAGTTTCAAACTACTTCTGCATACTTGGTGCTATTTTTAACCRTTCATATATCTAAATGTCGAGCTTGTGAATAGTGTGCTATGAATTTTTTATTAAAATGTTTGAAAATATTTAACTTCATTTGTTTAGAATAAAATATCCCATAGGAATAAATGATTTTTTCAGTTCCATCAACATTGCTCAGTTTTTGTCTTTGTGCAGCTTTTAGCGTTTAGCCACTGTTCTGCCACTTTTAGCATGTWGCTACCATTTTGCTACTTTTATATTTTAGTTACGATCCTGCTRCCTTCCTTTACCATATTCCTACCCTGTAGCTCAGTTTTCAGATTTTAGCTTCTGTATTTGTTTTGCTACATTTAGCTAGAGTTTTGCTAACTCTAGTGAWATCATGTTTTGTCATTTTTAGCTASTGTTTTGCTAATTTTAGTRTTAGCKTTRCTACGTTTGGTTATTGTTTTACYAGTTTTAGCTTTAGTATTTATCTAGCTCATTTTAACCTATGTTCTGGTTGTTTAAACATTAGCTTCAGCTTCTTTTTCAGCAAAATCATTCAGCACTCTGCATTTACATAARTACAGTGTGAAATAATATACACTATTTATTTAAAAAAAAACAAGATTTCACACATTCTCTGCTGAGCTATTACCATTATATTTTTTCTCCTCCAGAATCCTCTAAAASTACTACGACTGCTGAAGAGGTGAAGCAGGACAGGGATGTTAAGGACGATGCACGAAAGACAGACAGTGCAGAAAACTCCCACAATGAGGAGAACAGAAGGGAGAAGTCGCCAGTTGTAAATCTGGAGGGTGAAGCCAACTTTGCGGAGGAGATGGGTGACGACGACGAGGCCGAGTCTACAGCTAAAGACAAAACGTGCCGTTGGGTGTGCAAGGATTGTGGGACGAAGTTCAAACGTCGTGAGATGTTCAACCTYCACCGCCACTTTCATGCGCACGAAGATGAGTTCACGCCCCTCACCTGTAAAGAATGCGGCCTTACCTTTCAGCACCGAAGCAGCCTCATTAAACACAGAAACGAACACAAAGAAAAGGAGGAGGCGCTGGTGGAGGAAGGTAAATATCAGTGTGCAGAATGTCGAAGGGTTTTCGCTACAGTTCGTAAGCTGAGGGACCACAGCTGTGTCAGTACAGAAGAAAGGCCKTTCCGCTGCACCTTGTGCCGCCAAGATTTCCAGTTTAAAGTGTCTGTCACAAAGCACATGATGACCCATTCCCAAGATTGTGTGTTTAAATGTCAAGAGTGCAGTCAAACTTTCCCAAACATCAAAGCCCTGAGCTTCCATCAGAAATCCCACTCTGCCCTTAAACCCTACGAATGCCCCGAGTGTGGCATGGTTTTCAAACACTACTCCGTCATGGAAGACCATCGCCGCAAACACGTAGGGAACAGGGGCTCTCACCTGTGCAACATTTGTGGCAAGACTTTCAAATACAGCAGCCTCCTCCATCAGCATCAGTACCTGCACACGGGTCAGAAACCCTTCCGCTGCCCTGAATGTGGCAAAAAGTTTGCCTTCGCCCAGAACATGAAGGCGCACTGCCGCCAACATAGGTTGCGTGAAACCAACTCGATCGGCGAGCCGCCCAGCAAACGGGCCCCCGCGCCCTTACAAGATGCTGCGAAAGGACCTGGGAAAGAGAACTCGCACTCGAGTGAGGAACCAAAGCGTACGTTTAACTGCCCTTTGTGCCCCCAAACTTTCTGTCTAGCAGCAAACCTTAGAGCTCACATGCTCATCCACGARGCAGAGTTCGATAGGCTGGAGAGGCCGCCTCGATCTCCCAGAGATCCCTGGGACAAAGGACACACGTGCCCCAACTGTCCAAGTGTTTTTCGGGATGAAACTAGTATGAATATGCATCTGTTAAGCATGCACAAGTCCGCCAGACAATATTTAGAAAGGATGGCAACGCAGCCGAGTAAGAATCTTCCTCCCTCGAGCGTTGATAACGTGCAGGAGACGTGGAATAGCGAAAGTCTTAAATCGTACAAATGCTCAGAGTGTGAAAAATCGTTCCGCCACCGCTCCGTATTAGAGCTGCACATGCGCATACATTCCAAGGAAAAGCCCTACGTGTGCAAAGTGTGCGGCAAGTGTTTTCGATTCGGTAGCTACCTGCAGCAGCATCTCATCATCCACACGGGCACGAAGCCATATAAATGTCCAGATTGTGGCAAGGACTTTGCTTTCCTGCAGAACATGAGAACACACCAAAAGCTGCACCAGGAGAAGCCGTTCCGCTGCACCAGCTGCCGCAAAGGCTACAGCGACGAAGCCCAGCTGCAGCAGCATATGTTGTCGCATAACGGTGACAAACCGCATAAGTGTGACCAGTGCGACAAGAGCTTCGGATTAGCCTATCTGCTCCGGGATCACATGAACACACACACCGGAGAGAGGCCTCATCGCTGCGACGAGTGTAACAAAACCTTCTCCTGGTTCAGCAGCCTGCTGGTTCATCAGAAGATCCACGTTCGCAAGAAGCAGGCTCACAGCCAGTACAATTCATTCCCCGCGAGTGCTAGGATGAGGGGCAGGGGAAGGAGAGGGGGTAGATTTCTGTGGAGTTGGTCCAAACCCTTAGGAGGCTCAAATCTGGGTACTCAGCAGCCTCTGTATCCGCTTTCTCCACTGCGAGACGCAGAGTTGCACAGAAAAGCGCCACAACCACAACCTTCCGTGCTCCAGCCTCCTGTGGATTTACAGAGCAGGCAGCAGAGTGAGTCGTGGCCGTCAGAGCCACACCCTCAGCCAGTGCAGTGGAAGGTCGACGGAGGCGAGGTGATGCCGGTCCCGTCCACACAGCAGCAACACAGAGTTCCACAGCCGCCACAGACGCAGTTCGACAGCCCCGCACAGCTGCAGCAGAACCACCAGAGGAGCGCAGGCTGGGCTGATATCCCTGTGTTAACACAGTCAGGCCCGGTGTCGGCTCAGAGCTCAGGCGCACACATGAAAGAGGCCATGTCTTCTGTAGTCGGCTCTCTCTTACCAAAAAAATCCAGCCCGTTGGCTGTGAGCGAGACGGTGCAGCACAGGCAGCAACAGCCTCCCACATGGAGCAGCACGCCCACGTCCCTAGCGCTCGCTTCCACCAGCTCCGTGCAACACGATTTCTCTGTCCCCTCGCCCTACATGGATGGGGCGGCCCTGTGGAGCGTCCGACCCGCTCTGCTAGCACAAAATTCTCCAAATAAACTTGGACAAGAACTGCAGCTGCCCCGGTGGCAGAGTGCCCCGGTGTCGTCTCAGATGGAGCCGTCCACCCCTCCCAAGAAAGACGAGAGGATGTGGGACATGAGCGGTTCTCAAGGTATTTCTTCGACTGTTACTCAGCCAGAGAAGCCGTGGAACGGCTGCGAGCCGCAAAAGCCATGGGTTTCAGGCTTAGCGGTTGTATCCACCTCAGCTCAGATAGACCAAAGCAGTGCAATGCCAATTTCAACTCCAGTTTCCCATGGGGTCACCAAYGCCTTGTGGGACATCCAAACACCCCCAGGAATTCCAAAGACCATAAACTCCACAGAGAAGCTGGTGAATACCCAAGAGTTTCAGCTGCAGCAAAAGCAGGTGTCCACCGGCTGGGGCAACATGCAGCCAGCCACGCAGAAGGGTCCCATCTCCATCCAATACGAGCCTCGTCGCTTCGGCCAGGGGATGGGAACTCCAGTATGGGGCTTCCAGAACAATCCCGTGAATCCTCAGACGCTGCTCTCTGCGCAGCTTAAAGCCGGCAGCGGGCAGGAGCTGCAGCAGCAACCGATGGTAACGGGCACTCAGATCATCATAAACCAACCTTCTCCCTTCTTCTCACCCCCGCTCGCTCCGCTCCCGCCGCCGCCTCTCGCTTTGCCCGGCCCTCACCCGCTCCACTCCGTCACAGTGGGCGCGCTTCAGAGACCCCCGCACCCGAACATCTTTTACACGCCGCAGGCGGTCATGAGCGAGAGGCCGCACATACCACAGACCCTGACCCTACCTCAGCTCGCCCCGCAGACCGAACCCCACAAACTCGGCCCCCGCTTGCCTTTCGCCCCCGAACGGCTTCTCCAGTGCATGATATGCGGGTGCTCGTTCCCTCGGGAGCTGGATCTACAAATGCATTATTTGCAACACGCGCAAGGAGAGATATGACATTTCTACTGTAGTAACAAACTTTAGATATGTTTTTTTTATAATTGATGCTCTGTAGAGCCTCATTTAATTGACTCTTTGTTGAAAAGCTAGACCTGGTAAGAAGGGGCTTTAGGAGAGAAACCTGACTGAGTTTGCATATTTGATTTAAAATGCAGTGTGTTTGAAATAACAAGTGGTTTCACTGTCTTTACATACATTTCAGTTGTGTGGAAACATTTAGCGGTGTGCATAAATGAGGTTCTACAGGCTATATTTCATTTATTGCCAATAACAATTAGGTTTAGATATTATTAGTACTTTTATAGTTCTGTTCATACGTCTTGAACCATTTGTACTGTGTTTCTTCATGTTCAGTATACTGTGTGCCTTTTTATGAGTACAGTCTGCATGTCTGCTGTCTTGGTATTCTAGGCCCTAGTTTGTGCTTAAGGTAGATTAAACAGTATGACCTCACCCCAACAAATGCAGAGCAGGTATTTCAACAATACTATAAAAGCATAATGTTCTCCTCTTTTGGAAGGACCAATGAGATTGGTTCCAACATATGAGTTGAAGCTGCTCAAACACAAGTATAATGCTGCTTGTACTAACAGGTCCGTGGTCTGGSTCCAAACGTCTCTCCGGTAAAGTTGTCATCGTGGTCATTTGGTCAAATCGTCTGCAAACGAAACATAACGTGTAAAGTTTCTTTCAGTCTGAGAGTTTACTGTAAATTTAAAAGTCTCAAATTGAAATCTAGGTTTGTGAGGATTCGGCGCAACTACGTGGTTTACGATGACACTGTTTTAATAGTGATCTTTTAATAAACAAAACTTGGATTTATGTGATGTTTTGTCTGTAATATTTGTTTCTTTTTTTTTACATCACAAAGATGTAAAATGGGTCGCATTACATGAATGTTTTACTCCAGTTGGTCCAGTCTACACCTCTTAACCAGAGTTACTATTTCAGTTCAGGTTGTATTGGGACAATTCAAATCACGTTCGAATGCTTAAATGTATTTTTGTGAATAATTTCATTCCATAATTGTAGATTTAGCCAAGTGGAGATTTTTCACGTCCTGTTATAAAAATGGGTGTTTGAGTAGTTTGACCGTCCAAAACCAACCATTAATTCACACATTTCTTTTGTAAACATTGAAGATGAAATCCYCTTGTTTGCACTCACCTTTTAATAAAACCTTCCCTTCTACCTCTGCCCCACTGTTTTAGCATGTAGTTTTTTTTTTTGCCCCATTATGTTTATTGGATCAAATAAAACCCATTTGATTATAAGACTGTGTGTTGGCGTATTTCACACAACATAATTCAAAGTTTGCATCTAAACTTTAAGAAAATGGAAACTGAACAAAAGAAAAAAATTGTATAGGTCTTCTGGACGGGTTCTTCTCTAACGAAACGTTTCGTCTCTCCTCCAAGAGAGACTTCTTCAGTCTGAGAGTTTCAGGCAAAATTCAGGCTTTTAAGCACTGCCTCCATGTGACTGATACTGAAACTCATACTTTCAGTTGTCCCCCTCCTACAGTGCTGCTATTGCCAGTATCACTCCACCCCTGTTAACAATAGGTGTTAATTAGGTGTCAACGATAACCATGTGATGTGAGTATCAGTCACATGGAGGCAGTGCTTAAAAGCCTTAAACTCTCAGACTGAAGAAGTCTCTTGGAGGAGAGACGAAACGTTTCATTAGAGAAGAACCCGTCCAGAAGACCTATACAATTTTTTTCTTTTTGATTTTTTTTACCTGGATTACTGAGATGCATCAGGACAAAATGGAAACTGGTTTTCAACTTTTGGGTAGTGAAACACCAAGTAAAATATCTTGTGTGAAAATACACAAATTGAGTGAAAAAGCCCCATAATTACAACAATGTAACGTAAACCGCATTTTTTTTACTTTGTGAGAAAAATAGTGAATAATAGTAAAGTTAGTAAAGTTAAAGTGGTTATTTGGTTATGCATCTTTAAACATCAAAATGATTCCTAAAAAGAATTCTTCAAACTTGGGCATTATAAAATTATGAAGAGGAGCCTATTGAAGCAGCAGCTATTCCCTTAGTAAATGTACTTTTCGTGACTTTTTACKTGGAAAAAAAACCTGCTGGGTGCGGCACTCATGACAAAGAAAAATAATAAATTTAGGAAAATAAATTTTAACTACCTGAAAACAGACTATGGTGAAAACACGCCAGCAGGAAATCTGGTTTYATAACTCCCCAGTGTGGGGCAGTAACGCGTCACTAAACCGAAAATAGCGCCATAGAAGAAGAAACTACTTCCGCTAAGCCGAAAGCATTACTGCGCATGTCATGAGTGAATGCTAATCGTTTTGTTCATCGGTACTCGTGAACGTGCGAGATGCGTGGTTATAATCGAAAGTAAACTAGATTATTATCCCGTCTTTTTTAATCTCGTCTTCTCTCCGCCCGACCGGACTGTAAAGTCTTTCGTGAACGTGCATGAAAACAACGGCGGAGCTTTCCGGCTAGCTGAAGAGCGTGAGTGAAGCTAACCCTGCTAGCAAACACAACCACGCCAAGATGGATGAGTCTGCAGCCGCAGTGATCGGAGAGGACGATGCCGATAAAAACTACCCCCACAGTGACGACGGAGCACGTGAAAACAACCACTACGCATCTGCAGATAACTCCAGTGAAGGTAAATATCCACCAATTAACGGAAACTTATAAGTAGATGTTGTCGGTAACATTTTGTAGTAATTCGCACGTTTCAACTTTCTGCACTAACAGAGTATGATGATGAGCATGACTGAGCTGACACACAAGAAACCAGTAACACAAACTAACAATCAGCAAGTGTCCATCAGTTGACGTGAAACCTTGTTTACCAAACGGTATCACTCAGTACTTGATATTCGTGTTTTATGTTGAAAATAATACTATTTGATAAGTGTGTGCATGTGATGAAATCTGAATGTTTACCTTTTTAAACTGACATCTTGKCAAATTGGAAATTTAGGAGCGTGGGGGGGTCAGAATTTTCTGAATTTTGATATCCACAGTGTTTAGAAAAACAATATAAAGTAACACTCCACCATACCCCAAGTTATTTACAGAGTTGTAAAGTAACTAAGTACAAATATTTTGTTACTGTACGTAAGTGGAATTTTTGGAWATAGAGTAATTGTTTTTCAGCCCACTTTTTACTTCTACTTCTTACATTTTAACACAATTATCTGTACTTTCTACTCCTTACATTTTTTAAAGTCAAGAAGTAGAAAGTTGTTAGTTTTATTTCATTTTTGCTTGTTTTCATTCCAGTTTGTTATTATTAAAAAATAAAAACTATTCATATAAATTGTGCCTCCTAGACTGAATTAAATTGTGGTTGAATGAGAAGTATAAATATATAAAATTCTGATACTGTATTAGTTTGTACACAAACAAATCATGTCACACTCCAGCAGGACATAATCATTAAAATAAAAGGACTGTACTTAAGAAGTATTTGTATTAAATGAATTATATTATTGCATTTGGCCGCAGCCCTCTGATAGATTTTCATTTTGGGGAAAAGGTTTGGGCAGCCTTGATATATGTATATAAACTGAAACAGCTGGACTAGTTCATCCTAAATTTAACATAAACTAATGATTTTTAATACAACATAGTCATTTCTGCATTTCTTTGGGGAGGTCACCTCCTAATAAATGTCATTACGGAAAATCCATCTGCTCATTTTAAATCAATACTTTTTATTAAGTACAAAAAATATCAGATACCTTAAGACATTTACTCAAGTAATATTTCTAAAGGAGACTTCAACTTTTAACAAAGTAATTTTTTGGTAAGATACTTGTACTTTTACTCGAGTATTACTTTGTGGTACTTTATACATCACTGGTTATTTGTAATGTTATGTAATCCTGAGTTGAAGGACTTGTGATGCTTTCTTTTCTTTTTTTTTAGTATCAAAACACTGGAATTTCTTTAGCTGTTCGAATTCCTAAAACATGAGTGTGTGAGAGAAAATAAGTACCGTATATCAAACATTAGCACTGTCTGTGTATTTTTATATTAAACAACATGTATGGTAAATATTTTTGACCTATCCTCTGTTGATGTGATTCTAGATTCAAGTCTGATTATTAGACTTGACTTGGGCACACAGCAAAATAGTGGTTAGAACAAAAGTATTGCCGGTTTACATTCTGCTGGAGTTTTCACGTTCTCCTTGTGGATGTGTTTTCTTTGGGTACTTTAGTTTCCTCCCACAGACATAAAACATGCATGCTAGGTTAATTGGGAACTCTAAATTGGCTCTAGGTGTGAGTGAGAGAGCACGACTGGTTGTCTTGTTTGTCCCTGTGTTGGACTTGCAMCCTGAACAGGGTGTAACCCTGCCTCTCGCACAGTGACTGCTGGAGATAGGCACCAGCTCTCCCGTCACCCTGAACAGAAAAGCAGGTAAAGAAAATAGATGCACAGATGTAACAGTGGCACTTCATTCACTGCATCGTTGTCGATAATTTGTCATAAACACAAATCTTTTAATTAGTTACTGCACTTAGGGATGTTAACATTTCATCAGCAGATGCTGCCACTTTCTTCCCAAACTGCTATGAATGGATTGTGCAAGGCTGCTCTGTGCGTTTTTGCTTATTTCCTCCTGCTTCGTTATTTCTACGAATTTAACAAATTGCGCTGACGTCAGGTAGCTACAGCGTCGTCTTACAATTTATTTTTCTCAGTGCATTTTGAAGAGACATTTGAAAATATGATCAAAGTAAATCACCCAAGTTTTTCTAGTGACCACTTAAAGAGGTAAGCTGCCATGAAGAACATTATTTTATCTGCCTTTGTTCCAAATTCAATAATGATTTGAAATGTCGAAGTATGTTTTTTTTTTCCGCTTCAGAATAGGCTGTCATTGGTTGAGGAGTTTTGTTTACAAAACAAATATCCACATGGTTGTTTTTATTGTTTTCATTTCCTTGCTTTCTAAGATGCATCAAGATTTCATGTTACAGTTTGCTGAGATGAGCCTTGTAGCCTTGTAAAAAAAATTTCCACATCGCTACTACACTGGTTATTTGTATGGTGACATGTCAACATTTGTCTGTTTCAGTTTCTTATAAAGCAATCATGTGAAGTAAATGTAAATTGTTACTTTAAGTTGTGCTTTAGTTGAGCTGCATATTATTTGGCTTTATTTGTTGTTGTAATTTTCCGCTGTTTTTTGTTGTAATAATTTTGGAACTTATTTTGTTTAAAATAACGACATGTTATAAACTGGTGTTTTGTAAGGTTTTTAATTTTTTTTAAGGGACTTTCTTTTTTTGGAAGCAGGAGTCTGTTTGACCTCCTATTTTCCCTTTATTTTCTCTAGGGGTTGGAGTTTTCTGCTGTCGAGATTGCGGAGCGGCCTTCAGAGCAGAAGCAGCCTACTTGGAGCATCGCCTTCTGCACCCTCAGTCAAACATGTGTTTAAACAACCAGTCTGATACAGAAAAGGACAATGGAACATCTTATTTTTGTACCTTATGTTCACTTTCATTTGTTGAGATGAATGAACTACACTCACATTTGAAGAACCATCATCAAGCCTCTCTGAAAGAGACTGGTGTAGTAAATAATCCCGGACTGACTAAACAGGACACCTTGGTTTGCTATAAGAAGAAGCCATTTCAGTGCGAGACTTGTGGAAGAAATTACTCACAAGCTTCAGCTCTTGATGCCCATAGACGATGTCATGAAGGAAAGCTGATGAAGTCAAAAAACAGTAGCTCCAGAGACGTCAGTCAAACTGGAGAGTCTGCAGTGGAAACAGAACTCAATGAAAATCAAACAAAGAACGATTCACAAAAGCACATTGAGTGTTTGTGTGGGAAAAAGTTTGCTGCAGTTTCTGGTCTAAGAACACATCAGCGATACAGCAAAAACAGCCAATGTGGTTCAGATGAAGTGAAACGAATACCAAGGAAGAAAAGATGTGAATTCTACTGCACTGAGTGTGATAAGACTTTCAGTCGTCRTTCTGGTTTAACCAAACATCAGCTATGGCACACTAACCGCTTTGCAGAAAGGTTCACATGTGAGGACTGTGGAAAAGCATTTACAACTGCATCATACTGCTACAGACACCAGCTCATAGCACATACTGAGGAGACCCCTGCCAAGTGTTTTCTCTTTCAAGCAGGCCAAGTTCAGAAGAA